TTTTTTCTTTTCTTTTCTTTTCTTTTCTTTTCTTTTCTTTTCTTTTCTTTTCTTTTCTTTTCTTTTCTTTTCTTTTCTTTTCTTTTCTTTTCTTTTCTTTTCTTTTCTTTTCTTTTCTTTCCGACAGTATAAATAGTTTGACCAGTTCTTGCTTATTACCAACCTTATATACGTCAAGCTAGCATCTCACTCCACATGTTTTTGGGCAATAAATGTAAGCTATTAGTAGCAAACCGCAAAAATTTGTCTTTTTCCAATTAGTACAGTTCAAGTGATAATCCATTGAGCAATCAGTAGCTGATGATAAACACAGTAAGAATGGGATGCACATTTATTCCATGGACTTTGTTCTTAACGTTGAAATCGATCATTTTTCAGTTTTTACAGACTAGTTTTATTTAGTTTTGCAATTGTTTTACTAGCTACATACTTACGGCGTTGTGTCGGTTGTGATTTCTTTTGATTTTGAATCCAAGTTATAAAAGAGCTGACTCTGGTAAAAACACCATAATATTGCTTTCTACAATACTCGTCTCCCCAGCTGACGATTCCTTGCAAAATCCAGTTTCCGTTTTGGTTTTGACAGACAAGAGGTCCTCCGCTGTCCTTGTTACAGCCGCTTTTTCCACTTAAATCGCCAGCACAGATGTTAGAGAAAGGGTTAACATTGGTAACTTTATGTAGCTTGTCGTTCACAGCGGCACATTGTTGATAGGAAACTATGGGTTGTTCAACTTGCCGGAGTACTGGTGAATGTGAGCCTTTAATAGGAGCAGTTTGACCCCACCCTGAAATGTGATATATCACAAAATAGGTTGCACTTGTTATATGTCAGTCAGTCATGTCATATCGTACAACAGTACGTGCAGTGCTCGATCATGGTTTAACTCGTGGATCATATACGCGAGTTGTTTTTGTATTTTCTACTATAATCAACGCATGCTATTCATGAATTTGCTCATAATTAACTGACAGCATTAGATACACTGTAAGCGATAGAAAGATCGTTGAGTCGAGTCTCGTCTTAAATCCTGACACTGCAGTCAACTGTTTGTTTGCTTCGTTACATGCGTTATGAAAACTAATTACCAATTCCTCATAACTAGAATATGAATACTAAAAGCATGAAAATAAATGATCAAGTTGTCACTTACCAGCGCTAAATAGTGTGGATCAGACAATAAAATACAATTCGCATTACATGTACCATTGGTTTTTTTTTCATGGTTTTAGGATTTTTGCACACTTTCTTTTCAAAAACCGAACCTTGTTTCAATTTTATTGCGGAATACTGCACTTAGTCAGGTGAAACAAAATTCATTTTATGACTAATCAACACTTTTTAGCAGTAGCTATTGATCGAGTAAAATCCTTAAACCCATGAAACAAAATCTGACAATTAAACTCAAATAAACACAGAAGAACACCATAAACTATTTCAAATCCATTGTCGCATCGAAATGCAGCAAAAATAGTCGAAATAGTCATAGTATGACATGGCGCGTAGCGTCGACGTTTTGGCTTGTACGCACATGTCAGTGCAGGACCGCGACACATTTTGGATCTGAGGGTCTAACGACCACCGAAGGTGGGAGTATCAAGGGAGTCTGGACCTCCCCTAAGAAATTTTGAAGTAAGAACTCTTGGAAATGCGATTTCCAGCGTTTTGAGTAACATCGAGGTCATATAAAAGGGATCAATTTTATGTGAGTTTTTCAGTAATTTTTGTGAAACTTTTAATATTGCCTTGCCACTAGTACGCACGTGCATATATGTGTAAAGGACGCTACGCGCCTCAGGATGACTGACCAACCTGTAAGAATGCATTTCGTTCCTATTGGTACTTTCTCATTCTCCTGTGGTAAGGGGATTGTTTTCACATATTGGTTCAGTTTGGCCGGTGGTGATATCTTTATCAAGACGATATCATAAGCAAAGCCGTCCGTTAAAAATAAATAGTGAAAGTGGATTCCGTCGACCTTGTGATCTTATTCAATTCCACTGTGTTTGGTTTGGTCGTGCTCTCCTATGAATGTAATGTACATGTGCCAAATTTTTAGCAAAAATAATAAACACACGCGATGTCAAAACTGAACAAAATAGAGCATTAAAGGCCCAGTTTGCACCATTATACTTTGCGCACCTCTACTATGATTTACACCAAAATACTTCTAGTATCCAAATATCACCTTAAAACGAATGTCAGATTGTTGAAAACTCTAATATTAGCGTAAAGTACTTAGAAAAGTAAGATGATCAAAGATCCGAAACGCACAGTACAATCTATACACTTTCGGTAAACTGAAAATGGCCGCCTTCACGACCTAAAGCACAATGGTACACACTTGGCCCTTAACTCTGCTGGACGTGCAAACTGAGACGTTCAGGAAAAAGATTCTGTATTTTTACATATTTCAATGTATATTTTTTTCACTTACCAAGTCGGATTACTGAATTCATCTTTAGATCCAGAAAGCAATGCGCAGCCGTTAGAACCCATTCCTCATCGATCAATGCACCACCACATTTATGTTTGGAAGAATTCTTGTCAGGAACGCGAATATCAACCATCCAGGGCCAATGATGAGGTTTCGATTCCTGTCCTCCTATGATTCGTTTGTGAATCTCAAAAGAAGCTCCCATCCCTCGAGAAGCTACGAGCGACCTTACTCTCTTGGGGTTCTTCAGCAGTCCGTATCCATCATGAACAACTGGTGATAAAAGTAGTCACACTTCTTAGTTGGGGATCCAGAATATACGGAAGATTTTATTTGGTGCTTTGCACTGTAAGTTCTATTTGCCAGAAGTCAGAATAATAAGTACATGTGATTGAACAAAAATACGCACGAGGTTTATTAAATCGTACAAGAATCGTTCGTGAAGTTTAAGAAGAACCAAATAACAGGGAGGTAAATAACAAGGTTTCTTAGCTCATTTGCCCGTTCCCAAATTTAAAAAGGTACTGGTGACTAGTCACAAACTTGATACCGTTGTAAACAAAAAACTGATACCGGGACAAGAAAAGAGCATAGCAAAATTAGTATAGTTGCTTAGTTTCAGAGCATTTGGATTAATAATCACAGAGTTAAAAGCGTTTAAAACTAGATAAAATTATACAAAGAATGTATTGAGGTTTTGAGCAGCGTCCCCAAAAACCATACATTCTCTCTTATTTTTACAAATTTGAAAAAAATTCTACTCAGTTAGTATTCAACAAAAGAGTCCCAAACTTGACAAGAACACTATTTATAGTGTGGTCTTTCATGTGGCGAGGTTCAGTTTTCGATAAGTGGACTATTTTCATACTCGTTCCCAGTCTCCATTTGAATTTCGGAACGTCCAATATTCAAACATAATCGTACTTAGAACGTTTGGATCGATTTTAGAACTGTCCGCAACGTCTTTTGATGTCATTAAAAGTCTAACGACTGTATTACAACCGAGTTTGAGCCGTGCGAAAGATGTAAACAGTCCAACGAGTAAAAGTGTTGTTTTAGACGTGTATACATGTCGCACTTTGACGTCACAGCGTTCCTACATGCACTTCAGGCCCGTAGTCTTACAAATGGGGGGCTCGCTATTTCATAATGCGGACCTAAATTAAATGTTTAACTAAATTAKTTCAATGCAATAGGTATAGTKTGTAAGAACTGGCTGCTAGAATGAGCAATTAATAACAAAATACAGCTCATAACAAAATAATTTTAAAATAGAACAGTCAAAAAAGAGAAGCACCTGACCTTTTAAGCTAGTTTGTGGGAGGGTTCGTCCGAACCTCTCAAGCCTACGGGCCTGTACTTAGATACATTGGCATCATCCAAATAACTACTATGGTTATGATATAATTCTTTTCATTTTCTCTGCTTTCTGGAAGACTTTAAAAGCAGTTAAAAATGTACTTTGCTAATGACGCGTGTGGAAAAGGGGGGGAAGAGTGGGTAATTTGCACAGACGCGAGTGCATAAGATTTCTTTTCTGTTAGAAGTTCGCTTATATTCACCCCGTTTTCATGTGAGCGAAAGCGATGTTTTAATATACTCTCCCTGGCAACTCGGAATTCTCCTCGTAAAAATCTCAAATTCAATATACAACGCAAGATGAATTGCATGGTTACTATTCCTTAGAAATTTTCAGTCAGCCAGATTTTAATATATAAGCAAACAGGCAAAGTCGGTCCATACTTAATAAATATATATGCATGCTTTTCGAACATGAATACTTTTTGAGTATTTATGAATATTTTTTGCTATTCGTCGCTAGAATTTGAGCTGTTTTTGCACAAATGCCTCTTTATGGAGATCCAAATATAAGTATTTCTGATAATTTTTTTATCGATACAGCATTGAAAAGCAGGAGAAATCGAGCTTTAAAACTCGTTTTTTTTTTCCTATCCGCCATTAATCTGAGCCGAAGTGACATCGGTTGGCGGTTTTACCCAAGCGTGAAGCATATCACGTCATATGCTTAACCCAGGAACGAGGTTGTCCTTCAGATATACAAAACTAAGGGGAAATGAAGGTTTGAAGCGTATAAAATAATGAAGAGACAAAGTCAGGAGCATCGAATCAAACGTTTTGTTCTGTCTCTGAGACTTTCCGAGTTCAAATGCAATCGTTGAAAAAATTGAAAGTTATATATTTCGGCCTATAACAAACACACTATCCATCCTCTCTTCGAAGAYATGTGGAGATGGGGGGCACACGGCAAGTTCAATTCCCAAATTTGTAGACATCCTAAAGTTTATCATATTTTCTTTGGAATCTTCATAAGTTAAGACTCCAGTCATGTTACAGACAAGTTCGGCTTTGAACTGTTGATTAAACTGAGTACAAAATTATAATCACTGCGCGTGATGTTATTGTTTTGTTTTAATATACATGGAAAAAGACCAAGTATCTAAGGTATCTGGGGACAGTTGTTTTTAGTACCGACCATTACGAAAGAAACGCATCGAAATGCTTTTCGATACTGTCTAACCAATTGTATCATGCTGGCACAAATGATCAAAATATACGTGATCGAAATATCACTTTTGAATATCACCTTTGTCACACTGYATCTAATGTTTAAGGTTATTTTTTGTCAATAGCCTGAGAAAATCCACATTTCGGCGCCTGGGATTGTTGCATTTACCTCCCGGCTAATTACTGACACTTGTAAAASTACTTGAAACGTCAGAGACTACTGAATAACCTGCTACTACAGCAAGACGCATTATAGCATTATAATATCAACAATACAAGAATCCAATGCAATGCAAGTGAA